TGCACCCTCTTTTCTCACCCAGGGTAATTCACTAAGTAATTGTTCCTTCTAAGGCAGCAGCAGAAAAGCAAACAGGCTGGACAAGGTATTTTTGCTTCCTTGTTACAAATGTCCTGTGGCCTGGCAGAAAACAAGGGACACACTGATCACAGTCCTCAAGGCCTCTGAAATAATTTACTACTAACTGAAGCTAATTTTGTGCTCCTTATTTAGACAAAAAGGATGAAGGAAGAGACAGAGTGAGAGCACCAGTGGAGCAACTGATTTCCCATCATATCATCTCATTTCATTATTACCAGAATCAAATAAGCAAAAAACTCACACATCAGGCTTTTATAATCATGAGAGCTGAGAATGAATGAATACGTTGGATTACTTTGTACTGACCTGATGTCAGAGCCTTTACAGTGATAGAATTACAGACTTTTTGGAGACTATTGATGTCAGAATTTGCCTTTAACTCATGCAAGTAAGAAAAATAACCTCACCTAATCATAGGAATCTACAGCTAGGTCTTTAAGTATAAGTGCTTAAACTGTGCACCCAGTTCAGTGCTATACTCATTGCTGTCTCCTGAGGTTTGAAAATTAATTATCATTAAGCAAGGGGCAGAATTAAATACAGAAGAACCAAGGTAAGATCCAGTTGCAGAGAGTGGTGGTTTTGGCGCTGGGACTTAAAATGGACTCTACAGTACGTGTCACCATAGTATGATGATGCTTTCATTTTCTTGTTTCCCCATCCAAACAGACTCAAGTTATTTTATGAAGTCTGCTGAATGGAAATAAAAGGTACCTTTGGTCAGCAGTGCTTGACCACAATTGCCTGTAGCCTACAGATGTGGTTAACTCAATTGCATGGCTGTGAAAGTCCCAGACCAAAGTCTTGCTGCTGAAACAGGTGATGAGCCAACTAAAATTTGGGATACACCCATGGTTTTGACTACGTAGCAGCAGAATGGTCTCCTCTAACTTTCTGTGTTAAAAGCCAGCCGGCCTATTACCAGCATGACATAATCCAGAAGCATCTAATTGGCTGCTGCCACCCTCAGCCTACCCCCACCTTCAGCACTGGCGGATATGTCAAAGCAAAAACATCTCAGCATTTCTGATCTCCCCAGGGTCACATCTGGTTTGAGTAAGGCTCCCCATTTGGTTCTAATCCACCGATTTCCTGCTACTGTCCATGAAAAAGAGTGCAACTCTGTGGCTTCCCCTGGGTGTAATGGTCTAATCTGTATCTTGTTGTGCACTGTAGAGGGGAGGGGGAATCAGTGCTACTTGGGAGAGATTCCTCTTCCCCTGTGTCCTCCTCTTATGCAAAACACCTTTATTCTTGCCAGTAATGGCAGCCCCAGATGTCCTGATGCCCTCCCTGTATCATCCGTATTCCTCCAGCCTCCTAATTTAATCTTTTCCTGGCTAGGACAGGCTTTCCTCATTACAGTGAGCTGGATCCAATTCTACTCCCTCCCCTCCATCTCCCAGTCTCTCATTGTGAAACACTGGGAAGACCCCACAGAGCTTCTGTGGGTGGATGACTGCACCAGTGAACTGTTCTTGCAGCTACTGGAACGCTGCTCATGTTAACAGAACAGGAAAGCCCCAGACAGGTACAAGGTGGCAAAGGTGTCTGCTCCGCCAGGGTTCTGGCAACATCAAGATGCAATTTAGTTCCAAGAAATAATATCTAGTTCTTTTAATCTATGGCTCTCAAAGCCATTTATCTAAACCATCAGTGTTTTGCAGCTGGTGAAGTAGCCTAAGAATATGTACAAGAGCAGTGGCAGAGCCCAGGAGTTTCATGGGTCTCTTGCACCCTCATTCGTTAGGATCCTCTCTGTAGGAGGGCAGTACCATGAGTGACATTTCACTCATGCTCTGAACAATGCAGGGCAACATACACAGAACAAATTCTCTTTTTTTACTCTCACTCATCCACTGAAAATCTCAATACTGATGGAAAGAGTTCAGTCCTTTTCTTCACCTTGTTTATCACCTTATTTACCCTTCCTCCTCTTAATCTAAGCTACATTATCCCATGCTGCCCCTTATAGCACACAGTGATCTGCATTTTCTTTGCAGGCCCCATTCTGGAGCAATGCTCCAGTGTTACCGCGCTTAAGATGACCCTGTAATACAATAAGTTGCACTAGTTCAGACACAGCATCACACTATACCTTGGGTTTGATACTTAAATTGTTTGTTCAAAGTTAGTTAACTTATTATATGAACTGCCTCAGGGTATGCAGGAACAGCCAGGCTTGTGTTGAGGCAAGTAAATTCAGGTAAACTGAGGTGCAAATCTATTAGGTGCATGGATTTCAAGGCAAGTTCTCATAAGTGCTAGGAGAAGACCCAGCACATCAAATTCCCCTAAGTGCCATCACTTTAACTACTAACCCACACTCTTCTGCTGCACTAAGTGCATCTGGATTCCATCAGAGCCTGAATATTATTTTTTAAAATAACCAGACCTTTGGAAAACAAAATATCTCAAAGCACCAGAACAAATGCTCTGATCCAGAGGCTTTTCAGCATCTTAGGGAATGAGAGATGCTATTATTGTTACTAGAAAGGCAACAGTACAAGGAATGATCTATAGGGCACAAGTATGTTTGTTATGAAATGATTTGGATCCACAGAGAAATTCCATATGTGGTTTCCCCTCTGGTGACTAGAGGTTGCCACCTTGGCAGTGATCCTGGAGTCCCATGCCTACAGGCTCAGCAGCATGGAAAGGGAGGGTGGACGCTGGAGGAGTAATGGGATCATCAGGCGCTGAGGCTGCTGCTTGGCATGCCGACAATGTTTGTTTGCACCTCTTTGAAGATGAGAGATGAAAGTGGCGCCCACATGGGCTGCCTTTGATTAGCTTCTTATTTTTAACATTGCAGCTGCGATTATTTTTCTTTTTCTTGAAACATTTCTTCCCCAGCACCAGAAACTCTGAGGTTCCCTTCTCCAGGGAGGCTCAACTTCAAGGAAACATAACAAAGAGAAGTGTGAATGTAAAGGAGACTGGACAACTCAGGGCCAGTAGGGAATTATGTCATTTTATTTTTAATTTTACTTCCATTTTCCCCCCAATCCCCCATCCTCAGTGGGTCTCAGAAAGAAAATACTTGTTTACTTCTTTTTTTTTTTAATAGAGAAAATAAATGAGTCCTGGGATTGTACAGAGCTGTCATGAAGAGGGAAATGTCTAATGGTTCAATTCCCAGCTCTGTCACTGAACCACTCTGGGACTTGGGGAAAAGTCAGTTCGTCCATCTGTAAAATGGGATTTATAATGCGTTGCTTCTCAGGGGTATCGAAGGAGTATGAGTAGCATTGATGGAATGCTTCATGCACCTTGGATAGAAGGGGCAAGAGCCCTGTGAACTGGTGTCATTAATAGATACTTAGAGGAGATTCCTTCACTGTGGTACTTATCTGACCACAGCAGCTGAGTGCCTCACAGCCACTGATGGATTTTTTTTTTCTATTACCTCTCTGTATCATAGGATTGTTGCAGAGGAAAGCAAGGCAAATGGAAAATTGAATGGAATGGACCCCAGTCACATAGAGAACATCAGAACTAATAATTTATTTCCTAAATTTCTGCCACAGCCATTTCACTTTCATCCTAGTTGTATGGATTTTGTGATCTGAAGGCATGAGAGAAAGCCACCTTCCCTCTTCCTCCAAAACTGGCCAGTTACACCATGGCTGATTTCCTGCTGGATGAGGAGCAAGTGGTCTGGAAAGTGGGGTCCATTACTCTAGTCCTATAATTTTTGGGTTTGTTTCTTTCATCTGCTGGAGTAGTTTTCAGCCAAGAATTTAATGTTAATCCAGTCATCTGTAGCAAATGTTCTAGCTTTAAGAGGATGATGGTAGAAAAACATCTAGATTTGCTGTTCCTTATTTCCAGGACTAATTTCTAGGGATAGTAAAGAGTCATATATACATGTGAAATCAGAGAAAACTACTGGTAATGGATACTTCCTAAAAAATAGCTTCACAAACTGCTGCTTGCTCAGTCAGAGGGCCTTAAAAATGCAAGGCAGAGCATGATAGCAACAATATCAATTAACATGATGTAAAAATCATGAGTGGAGATAAGAGGAACAGCTAAGGATAAATAACAATCAAGCTCTCAATACTCACACACTTCAAAAGAAAAAATACAACTATGTGTGTTTATATTTATTTATTTATTTGTGCTATCTATCAAGATATTTACCAGCCAAAGAGAAATGGGGGCACACTAATTGAGTAAAAACTTGTAAGATGCTTATGCAAATCCAGCCAACTCTAAGAGTAAAATCTGGTTTAACCAAATATAATACCTGCAAAACCCTCTAAAAGACACTTCAGCCTTACTTTGATCAAACAAGTTTAGACTAACCCACATATATACCTTAACCAGGTTTCCTTGTCTTTATGGCATTTCTCCTGCTCCCCAGAAATGAGGCAGACGGTTGTTCCAGCTCAGTGCAACATCCTGGTAATCCCAATGCCCAAATACAATCCTGCTCAACCCACCTCCCCATGAAGAAATTAACCAGTCTTACAGGCTCTTCTCCAGGATATTTGGAAGAGATATACTGTACATGACAGCTTATAAAGTATACCTGTTTCAGATTCACTCCAGAGAAAGAACATATTCCAGTCTTACTCCACCCACTCACCCAGACTCCAGGACATTAAATTAACCCCCTGTCAAATTTACTGCAGGCCATCTGACCATACCATTTAGCCCACAGTAAAGACAAGATCTATACCTAGCTACAGTGAGGAAAGCAGGCAACTCTGTGGAAAACCTAGTTATATCATTCAAGGAGATCAACAGAGAGCCCAAGCCTGGAGGCCAGGATTAACACAAAACTTAAAGAAAAAAATTAATGGTCTCAATTCAAGAGACCACAGCTGTTATTCCAGAGAATTCCAAAGCCAGCCCTGCAGCTTAATGACCAAGGAAAAGTGCTTAATTTTGGAAATAGAGCAAATACTCACCCATTGCTGGTACAGGAACAGAGGTACAGAGCTGCTTTCCCAGGACTCCCAGGATGGCTACCTGTGCAGCACAGACAGGTTCTTGGTGGCACAAGGTGTATACTTTGTAGTGGTTTTTCTAGAAGAAGCTACTACTCACCATAGAGAGCTTTCCATGGATTGTCTCCAGAAAGTGCTCCCTTGGGGGTCTCCCTCCCAGATAACTGTGAGGAGGTGGGAGTGAGACACCTGCTGAGGTCTCTGGAGGCCACACGCACTGGCAAGATGAATTTTAAGGCCTCAGGTTCCTTCTTTTCTGCCTAAGCCTTTTCTCAACTTCCTCAACTGCCCCAGCTCCTCCTTAACCCCCTCAGGTCAGCCTAAACCACCTCAGACCAGCCTCAACTGCCACAGGTCAGCCTTAACGAACCCAGCCCAGTCTCAACTGCCCCAGCTCAGAGCAGCAACAGCCCCTGAGGGGCTGGTCAGGGGGCTCCAACCGTCACAATATGGAGGCACGGAGAGGATGCCCAGTGCTCAGCTTACTGAGGAACCAGCACAGCTCCATGTAGATGACACAGCCAGAGAGTGCTGCATAGACCGTGATGAAAGGTAGCCATGGCAGGGCTATGCCATGGTCATCATCATGGCAGGGTAGCCATAACTTCTGCTCCTCCTGAGGCACTGCCTGATGGACTAGGAAAAATGACAAAAAGTGGCAGGAAATGGTGGCTGCCTCAGGGGCCCCTAAAATGTCTCCCACAGACATGGGGCCTGCTGACCCACCAGCCACAGCACTGGCTGCTTAAAACCTTCTCTCCAGTGTAATCTCCAGCCATACCCTCAGAACACTCTCAGGAAGGGCTTTCAGAGGTACAAAAAAGTCTTTACCCTGTCACAGCTGACCATAACTTAGAGTGGACAGCTGAAAATGGGACCTGCCCTACCTGGCATGGCTGTGAGTTAAGTCCTAAGATCTGATTGTGTTTCATTATTTTTTAATTAAAATGGCCATAATTAGACCCTGGAAAGACCAGGTTATAGGGACAGTGAAGCTCAGTGGAAGTTGTGAAATCAGGTTTTATTTTTGGAGCAGCCAGTGACTGCTGGTGCAGTGCTGGACATGTTAATGAACTTCTGCTACCTTTAACTCCTTTTGCTTTGTTTCAATTTAAGCACTTTTAGGCAAGAACACATTTTTGGGTATACAGGTTGTGCACAGTAGGGCTGTGTTCTGTCATGTGGCTATACAGGATACTGGTATGCAAGTAACAAGTCATAGCAATGCTGGCTATACTCATGATCTATAACTTTCCTGAGGATTTTTCTAATTTTTTTTCTTTTTTTATGGGTGAGAGATTCAGGAGGCTGATCCCTCAAGTGGGAACTAGTAGGTCCCATTTCATGTCCAGCTTTTGCAGCAGAGCTGGCTGCCACATTGTGGCCTGTTTCACTGAACGTCACATCTGGCTGATGTAAAACACACATGTTTTGACTGAAGCTTTTTCTTTAAAATGCCAACATTAAAGGAAGGTTTGCTTTGTAAAACTGAAACTGTAAAACTCTTCTGAAACCCAGTCTGGGGGATTAAAAGAACCACATGAAAAGGGATAAATATGACCTGGACATTTACTTCCTGTGCAGAAGTTCGCTGAACATGTGCCTCCCAGCCTGTCAGTGCAAAAGAAGACCTTCTGCTCTTATTCTCAGAAGGAAAAGAAAAAAAGGAGAAGAGAGGAAGACATGACAACTCTTTTCTATGTCATGGCTTATGTCAGATACACCCAATTCTTTACAGTGGCATCTCCTGCGTCTTAAAACCAGAAAGACGCACAACTAGTAATAAGAAATTAAGTATTAACAAACCATTCTTATTTGTACTATATGGTAAAATTGAACTTGATCCATTTTTAATTGGCCATCAGGGACAGAACTCCTTTGGGTTTCAGTGGGAGTAAGATCAGACCTAAAGATACAATGGACTGATCCAAGGATTCTCTGATGATGTACAGAAGATACACATGGATAGACAGAGCTTCAGTTAGTCAGAAAATGGCTCACTTTCAAGCAAACTAATGCAAGATGTCTATATTGGTATTGTCCATTTCAAATATTAAAAGTAATTTTTGGATTCCAAAAATAACTTTACTTAAATATTATGAGACTTGAAAGGAAAAAAAAAATAGTTATAGATTCTCTGTATTTCTTTCCTAGGTCTTGAATCTTCAAGAAGATATCACATTTTTTCTGGTTTCCTTTATCAATAATGAACTTCTAGAAGCTTGATTATTTTTAAAACTGAAACTGACATTGTGATTTATTATTGTATGATTTCAGAAGACAACAGTCGAGAGGAAAAAGTCATATAAAAGCAGGCAATACATTAAAGTTACGACTGTTCTAAAATAACTTTCTGATCTCAGGTCCCAGTACACACACAAATTGCAGTGGACAAAATGCAATAAAATGTAAAATTTGGCACTGCCATTCTGTTTTGGCAAAAAAAAAGTCCCTTTATCCCAGTGAAGTTCCCTAAAAGCCAGTTACACATTAATTTGGGACTGTATTTCTCCCTCATGGTCAATGGTGTTAAATTACACTGAAAGTGGTGCTAGTTGCCCAGCAGTCATAATTTGGAGAAACACAACTTTATATACAGAGAGAAAACAGCACTTTCCATATAAAGACAGACTTCCAACAGAAAATGTTTGGCTCTGCACATGGAATGTTGTGAATTACCTGCCTGTACCACTGGATTGTAACTACTGCAATAGCTCACCCTGTGGATGCACAGATGGGATCCTAGTTGGATCTGAGCTGAAAATTTTTCTGTTGTTTGGGGCACTTGAGTCTGTAGTTTGTCAGTACAGGCCCCCCATTGTTTAACTTCTTTGCGTGTTTATTTTGTTTGTTTTTTAATTTTAGAGTGATTAAGTTTGGATTGGCGTTCTTGGATAATGCTCCCTGTCCCATATAGGAGATATAAACACCCAATAACCCCACACCATACTACACTTTTCCCAAATGCTCTCCCAACTAGGTTTCATCTTTGAGACAGACTCATATCTTCTACTTGCAGCCTTAGTTTCTAATTCCATGGAAGCCTTTCCCATGGCCTGCTACTGTATAGAGCTGTTAAAGAAATCTTTCTGTCTAATCTTGACACAATTGAAAAAAAAACAAAAACCAAAACCAAACAACAACAAACTTTTATTTTCAAGCCAGAAGCAAGCAAAACAAAAATGTTTCAAAGTCACTGTTCAATGGAGAAAAATCCTTTCCCAATCCAAAGTGGACAGCTCCTCAGCCATTTCCAAGATGGAAAGAGGCCATTTTATGATCCAGAAAGCATCCATTTTCTGTCAGTCCTGAGCCAGGGAGGCTTGTGCCTGTGTCAGTTCTAGGCGGGGAATGGCTGGCATTTCTCCAAGCTTGGGAGTGTTGCTATCACAGCAATTGTTTGGTGATGCCATCCCAATAAAGCTTCATTATGGTGTTCCTCTTTCTATAAACCTCAGTGCCCTCCAGTGTCCCCAGCAATCACTTATCTAATATTAGGATATTAAAAAATATGGAAAGATTTTAAAGAGACTTATTAAAATGCAATTAGCAGCATGTACGACTTAAGCAGTGAGATTATTTTAAAAAATGACTTGATTGTGTGGAATGCCATGCACCTTATAGAGATAATAAAGCTGCCAATCAAGTCCATTTTCAAATTAGGAAATTTTCATTCTTTTTTTACAGCCCCCTAAGTGAATATTAAAACTGATTATTAACCTCGAAGTGTAGCAGCAGGCCCCGAGCCTGTGAGCTCTGAAAGGGAGGTTTCATAACCGAGGGTAGCCTGGGCTTCAGTTCCCATTTGGACTGAGATCTCTGTGTTTATTTAAAGAGACAGTGTTCACCCTTTGAATAAGGAAATCTGGTAAGTCTGCATGGGTTCCTTGTTTAGAAAGGGGCAAAGCTCCAGAGCTTGCCATGGGGGGCCAAAGCACAACGGCTGCAGTGGCCCCGCGGTGCAAGGCTGTGATAACCTGCAGGTAAGGCTGCCCCCGTATGTCCGATCACAGTATCTCCACGAATCCTTCACTCCCAGCATAGAACCTGCCTTTTCTTCAAACAAAAATGTGTACGTTAAATGACTGTTTCTGTGGGAACACACCCCTTTGACATACTCAGGTTGCTGTGCATAGATTTTCAGTGGATGTTATTATTCTCAGTTTATTTTATTACTTCCCTCGTTAAATGTAAAACCCTCTCGTTTACCTTGCCTTCTTTTTATTTAATTTCTGTCCTACTGAGAGACAATCAAGTGTGACATTTCCTGCTATTTCACTTTGCTGGCATTTTTATTTCATTTATAAAAAAAGGATCTTTCTCTAAGAAATTAAGTCACGTTACCTTGACAGGTTACCCATTTTGCAGCTCTTTACTCCACTGTCAAAATAGATTTATTGATGCTTCCTGGATTTCTCTTTTCAAGCTGGAAATGATGAATTCTCTGGAAGGCAGCAAGTTATCCTTAAGTCGAACACTTTATTTCTGGAGAAATGCAAAGATTCAGAGGGAGTCACTTAGGAAGGGGTAGTCAAAGATTCCAACTCCAAAGCAAAAGAATGTCCTTAACTTTAATATGTGCTTATATTTACCTTTGCTGATTTCTTTGGGAACACACTCAGGTTTGAAGGTATTAATGGGGACATTTCCCCATACTGGTGCCAAGCTGTTTTGCAGGAATGAGAGTCCAGACAATATCTAAACAGAAAGAAAGTCACTGAGTTTGGAAGCATCTAGGATAGAAGTTATTTTATCAGCACATGTCTCATGACTGTAACTCCCTATAGAATGTAGCTGTGGCACCTGGCTCTACTTAGAATTTGCATGGAAGCTATCTATACATATTTTCAAAGTAAATAATCTTCCTGGGTTGGATAACAGGGGTTAGGAGGATGACAAATTGGGTTAATAAAATGTCAGCAAGAGCCAGGTTTTAAGTCTGGAATGAATCACAAGTGAAACAAGTTTAGTGGCCAGGGTTCACCCTTGATCTTGAATTGCTATTTGCCCACATCACTGAGTAACCACAAGTCATCCAGCGTAATTCAGCACAACTGACAATCCAGCACTGGCAATATTGTCTGGGTGGAAAGGGGAGAAAGATGTTACTGCCTAGTTAGTCATGGCAGTTAATGAGAAACACCGAAAAAACAGTATGCCATAGAGATGGCATTAGACATCCACGTCTCTGCTGAAAAGCAGCATCTCCAGCCCACCCCATGTCCTGTGCTGCTCCTGAAGCTTTCAATGTGCCTCTCTTCTGCTCCCCAGAACGAAGCAAGTGTTTTCATGGCTCACCCTTTAGGCTAGTCTGGGTGGAGAATGTCTGTAGTGGTTTAGTATGCTCATTGGGATGAACTGAGCATCATTGATATTTTGGGAGTCAGAAGGCTAGAAGGGAAAGAAATGCCATCAGTCAGTATCAAGGTATACCAGAGAAGAGGCATAGAGACTTGGGGAGCTATACTGCAGGTGGGACAATAGAACTGCATAAAAGAGTTCTGAAAATAACTGTTGGTTGTTGTTTTTTGTTGGTTTATTTTTCCCATTTCCATAAGCAACTACTCACTGATAAGCAAATATTATGATTGGAACCACACTGGAAACGACAAAGAGAATAAAGGGTATGTAATGGACATCTAATCTTTGGGTCTGTGAGCTACTAAATGTATGGTAATGCCAAAACAGTAAATAACTGAGTTATTAACATATTCTACAATTAGATCAAGCAAAACAAGCATTCGCTAATACTGAGACATTTCCTGGCAGCAAGGAGAGATTACTCAAAAGATATGAACAAGTGCTATGTATGAAAGCATGTCTGCCAGGCTGGAAAGCCAGCTTTGAAAAGCATGAAGACTTTGTCCCACAAACTACCTTGCTTTCCTTGATTAGGATCAGCTTCAGGAAGAGCCTTACCATGGATGCTGGCAGAACCAGACAGTGAAAAGAACAAACTTCACCTAATGCCAAATCTTCCAGCTGCAACTTTGACAGAAGGACTTGCTCTGCAACTCTGTGTTTCAGAAACTCAACACAGAGTTAAACAAATGGCAAATCAGTGGGAAGTCTGATATATGACAATTCAAATATATTAGACCAAACAACTAAAAAAATAACCCTGTATTATTTGTAGCAGCTTACTGACCATGATAAGTTTTGATCCAAGTGTATTTCTGAGTGTGGAAGAAGTGAATAATTAAGTGACACAGTCACAGCTCCTGTGTTTCTTCTCTAGTCCTAAAAATAGGCATGGAAAATCTGAAATAGAAATCTGTATTTTTCTTTATTGTTGGAAATGGGGTGACAGAAAACACACTTTCAGATCCTGGGATCTGCCACCCCCTCAGAGCTTTCCCCTCTCAGCTGTGCTGCAGGATATGTGGCTGCTCCAGGCTCTCTGTCTGCCTCCTGCAGCCCCTCCAGGTGTCAGCCTTGCACTTTGCATGACGCTTTCTTCCCTTAGCCATATCTGGAATGAAGCGCTGGGTTCAGTGGAGATTCCTGACAAGAGAGCATCAGAGATCTTAAAATATAGAATGTATTCCCTAATTTCATTTCAGAAAAAAATGCTGAATTATCAGACTGCAACGAGGCCTCCCTCAGAATGGTCAAACTGATGCCATGATGTATGGGAGGGGATCTAAATGGATCCATTAGCTTTCAGCAGGATCTGCCAATAAAACTGTGAACATTTGCCAGCCCAGAAATGGTCCAGGAGCCAGGACTTTCACTTGGATTTTCTTTTTCTAGGATGTAATTGATATGACTGGCCTCTCCTTGACCTTAATCCCTAACTACTTCCCAAGATCCTAAAAGCTTTTGCTCTCCTCTGCACTCTTGCACGTAAATCAGGACTACACTGAGATTTTCTCATTGGATCTCATCATGGTAAAGCCACTGGAAATTCGAATGCAGGAAAGCATATGCAGGCCCACCACAACATCTGACCCTGCTCTGACTTCAGGGTTAAGACTGCTGGCAGTGATGGTTTTTGGTTAAGGATGAGCACTGTTGGAAAGACAGCAAAGAAAGATAAATGAGCCTTGTCAGACACTCCTGTACCTAGAGGACTGCACAGACAGCCTGGATGTCAGCAGTAGGATTCCCCTTAGGACGTTGCTGTAATTTATGATATGGCTCAGAATTACTACAATACTTCAGCAGGTCAAATTTCAGAGTTATACTTAAAACTACATGCATGAGTAATAAAGCATGAAACTGTGAAAACAAAAATCCATCCTTTGAACAGAGAAGGAAGGGGGTTGTGTCAAGTCTAAGTGGTGTGGGAAGTTTGCAAAAATACAATGTTTGTTTCATATTTAAGTGTCTTTCAGTTTCACAAGTAGAAATTAGAGGCATGGCAGAGTCTTGATGTCATAGGTTTTGAGATGACATCCACGGATGAGAAACTGTGTTGAATTCAGAGTTTAATTCTTGTAGTGTAACCACAGAAGAGCTGCTTGGTGGCAGCAATTTTCAGTAACCACTGAGCTGGGAAGACTTCAAATACAGACTGTGATGGATCCAAAGGTCTGTATACATTAACTGTCATAGGACAACTTGCAAACATGATAATGAATGTAGTTTTCACAAGGTCTTTCAAAAAGTCTGAGCGTTTCAAAATTTTTATGGTTGTTAGGAGCAAGTTTGTCATGACAGCACAATTCTGGGTGTCAGGTATCACTAAGATTTTTCACTATGTGCTTGCAGAATGACCTTGGGGAGTCTGGCTTATCCTAATACCTCAATTTTCCAAACAGTTACGTGTAACATTACTGGCCAGAAATGGATGAATTGCATTATAAATTCAATTTTTTATATATATATATATATATATATATATATATATATAAAATAAAAAGAATACATGTAAAAATTCAGAAAGAGAAGGATAGAAGTAGATCACCTCTGGCAGTTTCAACTACACAAAAAATCCATTTGGTCATGTTTGGTTGATCGGTAGCTCTCGCCACCCTCATCAAGGATGACTTTCACTTCCACGAACATTAGTTCTCCCCTTTCTGTGGATGTCAACTATTTCTCATGTAAAGGTCTTGCTCCTCTTTCAAAATTACCTGTATTAAGGCAAATTATGTGTTCCCTTCCTTTCCTTGAAAGTCATTTACATGAGGAATCACAGATCTGAGATTATAGATACTGGGGCAGGGAATGCAGAAATACAGCTAAGGTTAGAAATTTGGGTGGGCCTCAATTTATAGTGGACAGCCAAAGAACAAAGGTCTGATGTCATTGTAAATCATTTATATTGCGAATGATTTAAAATAATGAAAACCCATATGCATTAAATTTTGACCTGTACATCCATTTTGAGATATTTTAAGTAGACAAAAGATAGATTTTACATAAATCTTCGGTAAATGTATTTCAAAGAAATATCACCAGGCAGTAAAGCCTAAGTATTTTAAAAACAGTCTCTCTCTTATCCCTCAGCTCTTGCTTCAATGTCCATGGTTCAAAATCAGCAAAAAAATACTCAGACTGTCTGCCCTGTCCTCAAGAGAAAAGCAGAAAAGATAAAAACATAGAAGGGGAACTAGACAAAACAGCTAGTGAACAGATCCTGGCAAAGCTGTCCTTCACACTATTCCAGGTGTTACAGGAATACTTAGTACACCTTACCCAAGCCACATGTGGATTTTGAAGGAATCTATTTCCAACCCCCTGTGTAAATTCCAGTATTTGTACTCAGTATTTAGAACCTGTCACACACCAACAAGCTATTTTATGAAACAGTTCCCAGTCTGTGGGTTTCATCCTTTGGTGGATGCCAACCTATGCTGATGGAAGTTCATGCTCTTCCATGCTAGGAGTTACTACAGAATCTAGCCAAAAAGACTCTGAATCCCAGCTCCAATACACTGCACCAGGCATCAAATTCCTTTGGAAGATACCTGGCACATCAGCACTGGGAACTGAGCTCTGGGAACTGACTAGATACCTCTGTGAATCACAGGGAGAAATTCTTCCCAGTCTCTGCTATTGGATGCTCTAGAAAGGCAAGGGACATGACTTGAAGATGGCTTGATCTCACTCTGCCAAACAAAACAGAGCAAAGTGAATTTTGCATTCCCCGTGCAAGATGAAAATGTTTGACAACTCCCACAGCACTACCACTCAAACAAGAGGGTGGAGATGTGCAGATAATCCCCGCTGTTCTGAACTGTTCACAGCTTGCAAAGGTAGGAGCCTGCAGGCCAATGCCAGCACTAGCTTTGGAGCTCAGAGGGGCCTTTTTGTCACCATTTGGTTTTCCAGTAACTGCAGAAGATACTTAGTTCCTACCAGAGCTCTCAACCAGGCTAGTCCTTTTATGTGCTGGGGCTGGGTTTGCTGAATAGCAGCCAGGACACCACCACACCTGGCTAGTGAGCTCTGGAGTTCCAGTGACATGGACTCCAACCAGCCTCACCCAATAGCTACTACGGCTGGAAGGACTCAGACTTAGCCACTGAGCTCTTCTGGAACTTTAGAAGAGCCAAACCTATAAAAAAATCTGAGTTTCACTGTGTTTGCTGAGAGATTAAAAAACACATCACCTCTTCTAATCAGTTTGGAAGACTTAAGTAAATAAGGATATGAACCAAAAGGAAAGCAAAAACTTCCTCTTTATGAAACAGGACTAAACTATCTCAGGTGGATTAGAAATTAGATAATTGGAATAATCGTTTCATAGGATCATGGTAAAGTTGCCTAAAATATTTCAGGCACTAAAGTGAAGCTTTAAGTGTTGTTTTAACAAAGAGAATTAGGAAGAGTGTAAGTACCATGGACAAAGTGATCTTTCCAGATACTTTATGTGGGTGCAAGCTACTTATTTTGTTTCAGGGAAACTTTAGTAATTGTTTTAGACTGCGCGGCATGAGTAAGTTTTTATATTGTTAACTTGCTTGTGAGTGGAAAGCTCTAATCATGGCAGATATTTACGGAGAAACTGTTCATCCTCCTTATATTCCTGCATTACTCTGAGACACTTGATGTTGTGGGGGAACATAAAGACTTCCAGCAAGTAAAGAAGAAAGGTCGGATTTATTAACTAACGACAAAATCAGGCTGTCTACAATCTGATTACACTGATACACCATTATTTGTTAAATTCTCCTGTCTTTTACTGCTCTGTGATTAGAAATAGGCCTAGGCTCTTAACATTTTTCAGTACCCACAGTTGTGTGGGGTTTTTTTGTATCAAGAGCCTATATTTAGGTGCCTATTGATGTTGTTTTTCATCCCAAGTGCTTTTGGGAGGGTGAACAGCTGATCATTACACTGAGTTTGCTTGCACCCATGAGCACACTTAACCTAGAGCAGCAAATAGTTATTGTATTGCATTTTGTTTTGTGCCTGTGGGCACACTTAAGTCAATATACATGATGGCTAGTACCACATATTGTATTTGTCTGCACCCATGGGCCCTTGGAATCGCCAGCGTGAGGGAATTGGTGAATTAACTAGTGGTATGCTCACTGGTGTACTTACTTCAAGAGCAATGCTATTATTAATTGCTTAACTTAAACCTAATTATAATGCAAAATAACAGAACAACAGAAGTGCTGCAAGAATCCCTATTCACACAGAAAGGGGATAGTGACATCTGCTTAATTCTAAGCTTGTTTGTTGCCAAAACTGAGGAAGAAGTTTTTGGGGCAGAAGTCTCTTATGGCTAATTGTCCTTCTTTTCCTCCCTGTTTTACAGCCAGCACAGAGCTCCCTGTTCTTGTCAAGCTTTTACCTGCATGAAATCTAGTCCAAGGCTGGTGCTTACTCTGCTCATTAGTGAAATTACCACCAGATGCTGTGTGAGATGGAGGTTGCTCTGGCTCAGCACAACAGCTTCTTCAACAGTGCTACTGCTAAAGTCTGAGTGGAAATGGTGCAGCAGGTAATGCTGACACACTGCAAATACCATTCCACCCTCACAGCGTGTTCAAATGATAGTGGCTGTCTCCATGCTGACTTAGCAACACCACAAGTGGCTTTGGGATTGTACACTGTGGATCACCAAAGAATGTAGGCATTTCAGGAGCATTACCTTCTCTTGTTAGTCTGCGTCTCATCAGGTCCTCTTTTCAACTATGCTAAAAAATTATAATTCAGTGGTAAGACTGAGTCTCAAGTCACACTGGCATAGATGAGCTGAGCTTCAGTGGTGCTGGAAGCCAATTTTTGCACTTGAAGAAATCTAAAGTGGGAGTCTTAAATACTCTCAGCAGAAGCCACTAATGCAGGGTATTGGATTAACCTTTTTTAGCAGTAGAGTCATCTGTCCTTACAAATAGCCCTTTATTTTTATGGGGTTTTGGGGGGTTGGTTTGTTTGTTTGTTTGTTTTAGGTTTTTTTGGTTGGTTGGTTGGTTGGTTTTTTGATTTTTATTTTTTTGGAGACCAGTGCAAAGAAGATCAAGCTAGAAGTATACCGGGTACACAGATTGGATGAGTGCCACAAAGGAGCAGATGAGGGGAGAAAAAGGTGGTAAAATTATTTTCCTAATAATAGTATGGTACAGTCCACAGGTTAAGCTGCTGAACTGGTTAGAGAAAGCTCTGCAGTACACTATTTTCTATGCACTTTTGCTATGATGATAGCAGGCAAGACTTCACAGCTCTGCTAATGCCAACCATGTGTGGCCTCTTGTTCATATAGATCTTTTAATAAATACCGATTGCGTTACAGATGTCTCTGGTGTGACTCCTGACTAATATGACTGACACACCAGACAAGTCCATTAGTAAAGCACTAGAATAAAGTAAGATGGAGATGTGGAATGGCAATCATCCAGATGGAAAATGACAGATTAAAACTGTAGATCAGTTATTAATGTATAGCTTTTTAGTATTATCACTGCAAAGAAAAAAAAATAAATAAAAATTGAGTGTTTACCTAGAGGGTGATGCTACTGAAAGCAGATGGTTAACCTTATAAAAGAGACAAGACCAAATGGAAAATACCATGTTCCTGCCACTAGCACTTTTTTTCCTCCGTGTGGTCCTCTTGCTCACAGCCTTGTCCTTCCTGTGATGCAGCTCAAGAAAACCTGTGTGGATGAGCTCTTCTGAACTTCTTTTTTGTGAGGCAGAAAAGTGGCAGTAAGAACATGAGTGTTCCTTAGCCATAATGGCTTTGGAGTTCAGAAGTTTATAATTATGTATAATGAGATATAACCATTAACTCTTCCAATTAAGTAAGAGGAAATTGGGTTTAGAGAAGATTAAGCTATGTTGTAGCAAATACTGGGTATTAAAGGACAGGGCTAGAATTACTAGCTTTTCTAATTGCTAGCACTCCTGCAAAATTGTTTCATACAAGCTCAGCGAGCAGGGCAGTAAATGGGAGAGAGGCACAAAAAAACCCCAGACACCCTGAGGAATTAATGAAGACATTGATTCTGAGCAATGAACCAGTTGTTGGGGACAGCATCATACTAGACAAGTATGAGATACAGAAATGAGTGACCATGAAACTCTGCATTAGTCAGCCTGGTTAATCTAGTTCTTCCCAAGAAAAAGAGAATACCTGCATAAGATCTGCAGAGGCATGTTGGATCAATTCTTCCTACCCAGTGCAGACTGATGCTGTTCAAGTGCCAAGATGTCTCAGCCAGTATTGCTCACATGCCTCTGTTGGCAAGAGGGTTTTTGTCCTTTTCCAGCTTACAGAGAACATTCAACACCAGCACTGCCAAGGCGCTGCTGATAACAAATGACTGCATCTCTAATGTTTCCATCCTCTTCTGTCCAGTTTTGTGATAAAGGGATCTTCAAGTACACGTGGAGTCTCCTCCTGCACAACTGGAAGAGCCCTGGGTACACTTCAGATGATTCACAGCAAAGTTCTCTCCAGGGGTGGAGACCCCTCATCTTCCCTGGAAACACAGCTCCACTACTCAGGCCTTGTTAGAAAAGTCTTTGGGGACTGTGATTGGTTTGTTTTTAGCCTTAAGTTATTGAAGGGTTTTTTGGTTATTTTTTGTTTGGTTGGGGTTTTTTGGGGTTTTTTGCTTGTTTTATTTAGTTAGTTTTTGCTGTTGTTTTTTTCCAGAAATCACAGAATCTTCTGAGTGGAAGGGGAGCCATAGTATCATCCAATCCAAATCCTGCACAGCACATCCCAACAATCCCACCCTGTCCCTGAGAGCCCTGTCTAAACACTCCTTGAGCTCTAGCAGCCTTGGTACCGTGACCACTGCCCTGGGAGCCTGTTTAGTGTCCAACCATCCTCCGGGGGAAGCATCTTTTCCTGATGTATTTGCCTAAATCTCCCCTGACACACCTCCAGCCGTTCCCTCGGGTCCTGTCACTGGTCGCAGAGAGCAGATATCGGAGCTACCCCTCCACTGCCCTGCCCCTCACGAGGAAGTTGTAGGATGCGATGAGGTCTCCCCTCGTTCTTCTCCATGCTGAACACGCCAGAGTTTGGGTTTTGGTGTTCTGGTTTTCAGTTTTTTGTTTTTTTTTTTTTTTAAATGAGGTGCGCTTGTTCTTTCTGGTAGCGGAGACGGGAGAGAGGCATCGCGGAGCTTTGGCAAGGCTGTCTTTAACGGCTGCTCCGGGCGAGGTACTCCGGGCGCGCCCCGGGGTAAATTTCGATGTCGGACCTCTTCCGTTACCGCCCTCACGGACAGGTCCCGGACGGCGCCGGCTCCGGGCAGCTCCCCCGGTCGCGCAGGCGCGGACAGGGCCGCACCATCGGCCCCGCTCTTGGGGGAGCGCGACTCGGATCGCCGCCGTCGCCGCCGGTTCCGAGAAAGCCGCCCGACCTCNGCTTAGGCGGGTGGAGCCGCATTCGGAGGTCTCGGGCTCGGGCGGACCCGGCAGGCGGCGAGGCCGAGGGGGGCTGTGCTCCCGGCTCCGCGAGGGGAGCCTGTGGCGCTTCTGGGAATTTCCGCCGTGCTCGGGGACCGGTCGGTGTTGGTACCTCCATAGCTCCAGGACGGACCGAGGTGTACGGCAGGGCCGGAGGCTTTAAGGTTTATGAATGGCCCCTCTTGTGTAATAAATACAGAGATACCCGTGCCTCAGGGCGAAGAAGATGAAAACTAAGTCAGGGGGTATAGGGTGATCGCTTACGCCTGCTCTATCCGTTTTGTACTTCAGTAACTTCCAGCGAAGATGTCGGAGTATATCCGGGTGACGGAGGACGAGAACGATGAGCCCATCGAAATCCCATCGGAGGACGACGGCACGGTTCTGTTGTCCACGGTGACGGCGCAGTTCCCCGGGGCGTGCGGGCTGCGTTACCGGAACCCGGTGTCGCAGTGCATGCGGGGAGTCCGGCTGGTCGAGGGCATCCTGCACGCCCCCGAGGCCGGCTGGGGAAACCTCGTCTACGTCGTGAATTACCCCAAAGGTTTGTCCTCGTGGCTTCGGTTCTCTGTACAAGGCTGTTTTCTTTAAGGTCCTAGTCGCTGCTGACCTAACATGGCAATACTGTTACTCTAACTCTCGGATTCACAAGAGATTACTGGTTTATTCAGGTGTCTGTTTTGCCCAGTTGGTTTGACCCCATTGAGATTTTAATTTTTTTAATATTACCCAAACGAGTACTTTAATGACAAAGTCTTGTGTTATCCTTGAAGGATAGCCTCATATAGGCCTTGAAAGACTATAGTGTACTGTAAACTCTCTATAGTCACAGACACTTCTCAAGGCATGGGTTGGTCAGAGGTACCATTTGGAAGTGCTCAGGAAAGGAGAAACCTGGCCACTCTGCTCCACCTCAAAAAAAAAGAGGGGAAGGAAGTGAATTGCTAGTGAAGTAATCTTGTTAAAAATTCATCTTTTCTCCACATTATAGGACCCTGAATGTTGCTAGATAATACTTAAATAAACTAATGCGGAATTAACTGGGTCAAATTGCAGTTTGGAGGAGGACTATGTTGTGGACTGGTTTTGGTTCAGGGCAGTCAGATATTTGTTCCAGTCAGCTCTCAACAGCTGGTGTGTGTCTCTTGCAATCTGTACTTTCTCATCATGGGTTCTAATTTAATACCATGAAGTTCATAGTCAGTGGGTAATTTCCAGAGCTCAGGATGTCTAATGTACTTTTTTATATTCAGATAATAAGAGAAAAATGGATGAAACCGATGCGTCATCAGCTGTGAAAGTGAAGCGAGCAGTCCAGAAGACTTCAGATTTAATAGTCCTGGGTCTTCCCTGGAAAACCACTGAACAAGACTTAAAGGAATATTTCAGTACCTTTGGAGAAGTTCTGATGGTGCAGGTAAAATCCATTTGCAGCTCAAGTAAGGAAGGACATTGAGTAGATATCAGGCTTCTGAGAAAGCGAGTAGAAACAAAGGAGCTTTATAAACTTGGACAAGATCAGAAGCTGTGTCTCTTCCTAAGGGTGTCTTTTTTTCCAATGAGCCTGTTAATTTTGGGAGAAGATGTTAAGGAATTAGAGGTTGCTGTGATAAGAATGGTTATAAGACTGATGAACTCTCAAACAGATTTTTACCAAATTCATTCAGTAACAACACTCTTTATACTAGTGGTTACTTCTGGGTTTTGGGTTTTTTTTCCACCTAGGTTAAGAAGGATATTAAAACGGGCCATTCGAAAGGTTTTGGGTTTGTTCGGTTCACGGATTACGAAACCCAAGTGAAAGTAATGTCTCAGCGGCACATGATCGATGGAAGATGGTGTGACTGTAAACTTCCCAACTCTAAGGTACTTTGGGATTTACTGCTGGTTTTATTTGTAACAAACACTCCCAAGTGCACTTCTTTGTCAGCTGTGTTAGGGCAGAGCAGCTGCACAGATTTAACTGTCCATTCTGGGATGTGGCTTTACTGGGAATGAGCAGAAAAATGAGAGTAAGGAAGTAAAACGGGGGAGGTGGGTGAGCTGGAAGTAATTGAAACGTTCGGAAAATAGCTCATTATCTGAGGGAATGAAATACAGATAGAAATCTGTGTTTGATGTTCAGCAGTACCTGCCTAACTTACCTATTGCATGAATAAATGTGGAATAAAGCAGATGGAGTAACTAATTTGGGGAAGAGCAGAACAAGTCTTTGAGTTCCAAACTGAACTTGTAGCTTCTATACTTGACTATGTATGCAATTATTACAAAAAAGTGTTCTTCTGCAGTGTCCTTGTCGCCATCCCTGTGTGTTGCTCCTGTGCTCGTTTTCTTGTGGCTGTTCTTCCCCACCTGTACCAAGGTGCAGCTATGTTCTTGGAATAGAATTCTTCTAAATTTATTTATTTTAAGTCTTAAATTTGCAATCTCAAAGATTTTTCCATCAGCACCCTTCAGAACAGGCTAGATTATAAGAGTGTCATTTACCTTGAGAACTGAGTTCTCAAGGACTGTAGTTGTGATAGGTTTTTCTTTCAATTCTCCCCAGCAAAGTCCGGATGAACCTTTGCGCAGCAGGAAGGTGTTTGTTGGACGCTGCACTGAGGACATGACGGCAGATGAACTCCGACAGTTCTTTGCCCAGTATGGGGAAGTGGTAGATGTCTTCATTCCTAAACCCTTCCGAGCTTTTGCTTTTGTTACATTTGCAGATGATCAGGTAAGTCTTAAAATATTTTAACTTCATAGACTACATTTTTAGGATGATAAATAGTAGCATCATTTCTGGAACTATACATAAAATGCTTACTTGTCCGCTGTCTTGAGAATTAGAGTAATATCAGGTTGATCTGATTTATTGAATGGACTGAGATTACGCTTTTAGATGCAACTGTGCAGACAGGCGTTTGTAACCAGCAGTTAGTGTAGTGATGATTGCGAAACTAAATCACTTCAAATCGAATTCAGTACATGCATATGTTTTCTTTGCAGGATAAATATCTACCCAGAATCGTAGGGGATGTTTTGTGTTTTGCCTTGTGCTAATAACATTTTTGAAAAAAGGGCATCTAACATACATTTAATCAATCCCTTATTTCTTATAGGTTGCCCAGTCTCTTTGTGGAGAGGACTTGATCATTAAAGGAATCAGCGTACATATATCCAATGCTGAACCTAAGCACAATAGCAGTAGACAACTAGAGAGAGGTGGAAGATTTGGTGGTAACCCGGGAGGCTTTGGGAATCAGGGTGGGTTTGGTAACAGCAGAGGAGGTGGGGGAGGACTGGGCAACAACCAGGGCAGCAACATGGGCGGGGGCATGAACTTTGGGGCCTTTAGCATCAACCCTGCCATGATGGCAGCGGCTCAGGCGGCCCTGCAGAGCAGCTGGGGGATGATGGGCATGCTGGCCAGCCAGCAGAACCAGTCTGGGCCCTCAGGAAACAACCAGCCTCAAGGCAACATGCAGCGGGAACAGAACCAGGGTTTTAGTTCAGGCAACAACTCGTACGGAGGGTCCAACTCGGGGGCAGCGATAGGCTGGGGCTCGGCCTCAAACACAGGCTCCAGCAGTGGGTTTAATGGAGGCTTTGGTTCAAGCATGGATTCTAAGTCATCAGGCTGGGGAATGTAGACGCAGTGGGCTCTGATAGTGACTCTATGGTGGGAAATCAAATTTTTCTAACTCATGGTAAGTATACTGTAAATTACGTATATACTAAAGTTTTCCAAATGAATTTGTTCAGTGTGCAGTATATTCAGCAGTATTTTTGACATTTTTCTTTTCTAAAAAAAAAAAAAAAAGAAAAAGAAAAGGTAAAAGGAATTTTCTAAGTTTTGTTACATATCTAGTTGGAATTCTGAATGCTTGGAAGTGGACTGCTGTTTGCCTGATAGGTGAACTAACACTACAGTCAATAGGAAAGGCTTCTCCTGTAATACTTTATCCCTTGTTTCCTGGCTACCTGAATTCTTTGCATGTTCAAAATGGAACCATTGGTCAGAAACAGCATTCTCTCCCTCTTGTTTTTAATTTGATCCCACCATAAGACTCTCCAAGCGCCCCGTTGGACAACACAGTGTCGTTTTTGTTTGTGTTTGTTTTTTTCTTAACACTGTCTCCCCTCCATACTAAAGTACGATATGAAGGCTTCATTTAATCTCTGCAGTTCATCTCATTTCAAATGTGTATAGAAGAAGCACTTCATTGAAAGCAGTGCTGTAAATATTCTGCCTTAGGAATACTTCTGTCTACATGCTTTCTCATCCAAGAATACTTCATCACACCGCGCATGCTGCGTCTTAGACGGTGGGTGTTCCATTTTTATCCGCTACTCTTTATTTCATGGAGTCGTATCAACGCTGTGAACGCAAGGCTGTGAGATGGAACCAGAAGGCTGTTTGAACTTTTGAAACCATGTGTGGGATTGGTGGTGGTGCCGAGGCATGAGAGGGCTGGTATGTGCGAGATAAAGGAGCGAGCGCATGCAGAGACCTGGTGGTGCATTAATGGGATTTTATTTGACTTGGCGAGATGTCTCTCAATCCTGTGGCTTTGGTGAGAGAGTGTGCGGAGAGCAATGATAGCAGATAACGTACGAGTGTTTATTGCATTCAAAGGACATCCACATGTGGAAGACTTTAAGTGGGCTCTCTACTTAGTTAATCAATTAGTTGAATGTGTTACGTGAAATGGAATATTTGTATTTCTTTTCCCTTATGTCAACTGCTGTGAATGCTGTATGGTGTGTGGTTTTTTTTTCTGTTAATGATCTGTAAGTGTGGTAATGTGACTTGAAGACGCTGGGGGTTTGTGATGAGAACATTGAGCTTGTGGTGTGCTTTGTAATAGCTCTTTTAGCAGAGATCACTAGAGCTCAGTGTGCCTCTCCAGGGTGGAAGTTCCACTGTCTGTAAGATACCCATAAGAATGCTGTTTGCTGCAGTTTC